ACACAATTACATCACAAATTGATTTTTTTTTTCCCTTCATTGATGTCAAAGGAGATTTTTTCCATTACAAGCTGGAATACATACAAGAAGTTTAAAAATTCTCACTAATGTAGCAAATTTCTTTCCAGCTTCTGAACTAATACTGCAGTAACTTCACAAGTATGTAGTCTTAATCTAGGCTGATCCAATAGAATACATAGCAATGTCTTCAAGCTCTGTTGTATCCTGAGTAAATTTCGCATGTCAAAAGAAGATGATTTCTCTTAATATATAATGATATCTATTTTATCTACCACCTTTTCTTCTCGATGCCTCTATTGAACCTTTGGATGTGATGGGATTTCAATGGCGATTTTACCTTGTAAGCAATCTAATTTGCAACAGTCAATTATCATTTGTGATTTCCTTAAAGTGATCAGGTATCGCTATCCGTCATTTCTGACTCACAATCTTGTTTCTACATTAAACCCAGTTAGCATAGTTTTTCTACATCGACTTCGTCCCATTGTGACTTTGATTATGAAATTGCTGAGGAATTTCTCCACAATGTCTAAATCTATTTCCTTTATTGTTCAAATCTCTCAGTAGGTTGTCTTGGTCTCCCACTTTAATATCTCCGGATGCCCTTCTTATCCAGTCAACTCTTCAATTGTCAGTTCTTCCTCCCCAAGAAGCACAATTCATCACAATGATTAAATAATTGTGATATCCGGGTGATGGTGAAAAACGTAATCATGTGATACAACAACCATATCACAAATAATATAAAATATAAATCTTCAGTTCTTAAAATCTTCATGACTATATCATAAAGATTACACAAGATAAACATTCAGTTCTTAAAAAGCTTCATGACTATATCATAAAGATTATATTACAGTGAAGCCAATGATTCCACTGTCAACTTCAAACACGAAGTTTGCTGTCCACTCTAGTGATAATCTCAAAGTCTCTACTTCAGAATATATCAGAGGTGCTAATCGCACTATCGACTCCTCCAGTCGCGGACCCACTTAACTCGGGTTGAAACGCATGCTTCCCACCATAGCAACTGACTTCGAGAGAGTCGCTCATGAGCTCAGAGTGGCATAACCCATGAAGAGGATCAGACCCCAGTTCTGGAACCTTTCTCCCAAGACGGACTTTGGATCCGATCCGGTGATTATGTCTGATTTCTGCTAATGATTGACATGTCCCAGTCTTTGACCGTACACAACAGATTCAATAGTACTCCAGAAGATGCTGACTTTGCATTCACAGATTAATGGACTCCGGGAGGATGAAGCCCCTGCAGATTGACTCGGTCAATCACTTCCTTTACTGCCACTTATCTCCATGCTAGCAGGGCTACGATACCAGGACAGGAGGCCATGATAACGTGGACATTGACTGCTCTTGGGCCAATGGCACTTGGATTGCCAGTGAATTTCTCTTGTATGGAGAGAGGTGTGATTTATTCGAGCAAGTCCTGTACCTCCGGGTGTCCTGAGCTAGGAACAATCACGGTCAACCTCTGCTGTTGTTTTCCACACCACTTGTCCAGCATTCAATCTGTAGGCGAATGGAGCCATCAAGATTTCCCGCTACTGTGATGATGAATGCATGTGGCGAGTTAGATTGGGCACAAAAAGTGCGAATACGATGAACGTGCACCTGACAGACAAGAATACACTCAACATGCTTTTGTTACTATCAGACCAGGTTCTTTCTCTGAAACAATTTATATTCAATCACGGCTCGGTTAAGGTACAAGCTGAAGCCTTAACACAAGTGGCAATTGCTGAAATTTCCGATATTCCAACTCTCGCCACTCAATTCATGTCATGCAATAGATGCGAAGTTTAAGATGGATATGCTCTCTCTTCAGTTCATTGCTCTGTAGTCTCAACTTGGCCATGTAATCATGACCTGGACGCACGTGTAATCCTGCTCCAGTTACAAGGAATCGGTGACTGAGCATTGTGCCCGGCGAACTTGAGGAGAGCCTCGTTGATGCCTCAAGCGAACAGTGGGAGATTGCAAGAAAACAAGGAAGGTTTGGATCTGAGACTGGTCTTGGTGCCTTTTGGCACGTTCCACTCTTCCTCGTGTGGCGACGCCTGAAAGATACTCATCACAGAACTTATTGTTGCAAACTGCACTCTGAGGGTATCAGGAAGATTTTTCTCGTGCGCGATTGATCTTTAGTTTCAGTGAGGGGTACACATGGTGCCCCTAAAGCCTCTTGCTGTTAGAAGAAGGGTGTTGACGAATAGCCAACGCGTGCAAGAGACTCAGATTTCCACTCTGGTTGTAATAACCACATTAGCTGTTAGGTACTATGCAAATTTAGAAGAACACTCCAATGTCCGAGCTGAAACAACGCTGTCATACATCCTGGAGCTCGGGCCATGTATATAGAGGAAGAACGCCCCAGCCACCACACGTTCTAGGATTCATTCTGAGCCAACATGTATCGGTGGACTGTAAAGCTTGAAAGGAATGTTAGGCAGGACAAGACAAAAGGAGGTCAAATTACTTTGTTCCATTGTTGGCAACAAGTGTATTTTTTTGGGGTCAGCTTGAATTTCACGACCTCGAATTTAGACCGTATTCATCTTGACTTCTGTCGTTTGTTCTTTTCAGTTCTGATGGAGCCTTTGAGATGTTTCAGAAGGAAGGCCTGGAACTCAAGATGCTGCATTCTACACAATCGAGTGGCTTTGTTAGCCGTCTTTTTTAAACATCGGCAGCCAGTCTGTTGGAAACGAGGGCCGAAGTGTACTATACTAATTTTGGATGACTTCGGGTGCCGACTATATTTACTTCTTAGGACATAATTCCTTAAGGCTATAGTGCCTGCCAGACTGAAATGTAGATACACTCGAATCACTGACATCTCTGTCAACACAGATTTCACTGCTTTTGACTTCGTTTTGTACACATTGTCAAGTCCAATCGACATTGTTGGCTGCCTACCTCGTTTTCAACAGAATGTCGACTATTGCATGGAGCAATAGAGCACATTGATGCCTTGCTACATAGACCCTGACCCCACTCGAGGCTGCTGTTTGTCTGCCTCGTGGCGTCTGGGACTCAAACCATCACAGGGTGTGTCATCAGACACTGCTTTAGAAGCTCTCTTCTGGCCCACCACTAGTGTCCAGCCTCATCTAATCCCATCCTATATACGTACTGTGGCCGGTTGCATGGAGCAGCGCCTTCTGCTGCCACTATTTCCATCTCCCCTTTAATACAAGTAAAGGAATGGGAAGTACCCTGTTACTCCAGCTTACGCAATGTCTTGAACACCAATCACAACTGGCAGCACGACATTTTTCTGAGATGGAGCTCATTTCGTTGCCATACTAAGGCATGCTCCGAGAATTCTGCCTAATACACAACATTCAGCCTCGTCGCTTTGTTTACTTTTATATTTCGTTCACTGTACTGCTCCATTGGTATTGTCCTTGTCGAGGTCGGTTCACTCTGCAACACAGAGTGAACCGAGTGGTCTTTTACAGTGGTCTTTTATGCTTGCTAGTCTTGATTCTTTCAGCAACAAGCTTGTAAGCCTCTAGGGAAGAAAAGAATGCGAAATAAAATATAAGAAAAGAAAAGAAACGGAAAGCTTTTGAACAGATGTTGGAACTCGGAGCAGCTGTTGCTTTTGTGTTACATTGTCGACTTTTGCAGGAAGCGACTATGGTTCTAACCGCTCTGCTCTGAACAATATGGCCATACGTGGACTTCTCTTAAATGCAGAATGTAGTGGGGTCCACCCACCCACTGTTGTGCACGGTCCCAGGTGCTGTACACATAGATCGTCTGATTTTTAGACACCACATGTGTAGCTCAGAGTATGAGTTCCTATGAGGGTAGCGACATCCTGCAGGGATATCTATATTTGATTTGAGAATTGAATCAGAACTCAGTGCTTGCAAGTCTTGAGTGAACTTTCTAACACTGCTCAAGTCCGTTTTGAATTCACCCTGATTCTAATATGCAATTTGTGCTATCGATACCAGAGGCTAAATAGTACCTCTGCACTGTCCTCTGTTCCAATTTTCATATAAATCACGTGCACGAAACGAATCTGCTCTCTCAAACCTAATCTACTCCTTTCGTACTAAGGCCAGATTGTGAATTGCTTCACTTTTCAACGACAGCTAATTGAAAAGTTGCAGTCTTTTAAGTCGAGCAGATCAGAAGGCTCCCATCATGATGAACAGAGGGACCGGCCTATCGATATTATCATTACATCCCTGGAACTTGCAAGATTCAGATTTACCAGTAACCCGAAGTGATCCTCTCGTTCAGTCGTGCTCTTTCTCCCATGGCTCATGAAACAGCTAGTCCACTCGAGTAAATTATCTGAACTGACAGTTATGGGCACAAAAGGGCACTTGGATCATGTATACTGTGGATAGAGAGCCTCTTATATAATATTTTCTGGTGCTGAGCTAGCGGTTGAACTCCTAGACCGGATGTTTGGGCACGAGAAAGCGAATGTGTTACGTAGTACCTGACACATTCTCTATAGAAATGGACCGAGGACGTAGGTTGCAGTGCACTCGAATCGATGTCTACGGTGCAGGAAGCAATCAACCCGAAATAGTAACGCTTCTAGGATGAAGAAGATCAGGCTAATTGGACCAGGCGTAGGCTTCAACGAGGTTTGCTCGATGTAGTTTGTGCGACCTTGTGATCTCCGACTGCAGAGAAAACCCGGACTCCATTGGTTGAGATGTTGCTTGGATTATTCCCCTTTTGCGTCCCCAGTCTTCTCTTGGAGTAAAAGGGAGTTACCCGTGATCACATTCACCCATTGTGCAGTTTTACCTTCAATAAATTCTTTCATTGGATTTTGCAACAGTTCCTTCTGTTGGGGAGAAGAAATTAAAGCTCTGAAACGGTTCAGCATCAAGCCTTTCTAATCTCTTAATCCACCAATCGAGGTCATCACTAATGAAGTATTTAAAGCGATCTTGGCATCCGATTTCAGACATCTCGATGCGCGTGGTACTGTCAGAGTTTCATAAACATCAGTCCATACAGAGAAATTCGTTTAATTTCTCTGTATGAGAATTGAAAACAGAAAATTGAGAGACTCGAATGATATAGTGTACAATGGTGCTCTACAACCAAAGCGGTGTAGAGGATACTATATACAACAATGGCTGTGGCAAAGTTGGCAGGTGCTACTTGCACCTTCTCTGGATCTCTTCTGCATCCCCGCTTGGGAAAGCTTACTCAATCGCTAACCTCACGAGGTAATAACATATGTGTGTGCCGGGTCCATATAAATCCATCCTCAATCAGAGGAACATAGAAGATGGAAGGACGAGTTATTGCTACCTACGAGAGGAACAGCACGGGCATGTCTTTTCATAACCCGTAAGATTCTGACGCAGTGACCCACGTATTTTGACTCACAGAATCCAGCGGTTGATCGGTGTCTTCTCTTATTCTCTTCAAATGCACCGATTCCAGACTCTCATGCTGGAACCCAAGCATCTGCACGACTTGATTGTCTGCAAAGTTGAACGCTCTCTCCATCTGCTTCACACACGCGTCTGCAGAGTAATTCGGATTGTGCACTCCACTGCAGGGCTGACATCCGGTGAAATGTGTGGTGAATGGCCACCGATTGTCTCCCAGTCCCGGATGGTGCTTGGTCATGTACTCCTCGTAATGCTCCACAATGTCGGCCCAGTAGCCACTCAGCCAGTAATCCCATTCCAATTTCACCTTCGGCCGCAGCTCCTCCTTGCTCACGATCAGATATGCCAGAGCAGATTGATCATCGGCTGGCATTTCTGGCCTCTTGGTCAAGTATGATGTCAACATTTTTCCAGCTTCGACTCTCACCGTTCCTTCAGGACCCATGGGAGCCCACATGTCCAAGAGGTCCAGAGTCCACTGACAGTTTCTGATGAAGAACACTCCGTTGTTGATGGCCACCCAGCTCTTCTCGGTGTAAATGCCCTCGTCGTAGCCCCACATGACGAGATTGTAATCCACGTATTTCTCCATGGGAATCTCGAACAGCATGTCCGTGAACATGGCGTCTGCGTCCATCCAGAAGAACCATTCTACCTCAGGATGCGTCAACATCAGCTTCCGGAGAATTGGAAGCTTGGCCCAGTAGGAAGACATCTCCTTATCCAGATGTGCGATGTTGTAGAAGATCTCGATGTTATGCTGTCGGCAGTAGTCGATTTTGTTCTTGATGGACTTGAGGTAGTAATGGTCCCCGACAGGATTTGCACAAGGCCATGGAGAGGAACCTGTGACGAGAAGCATGCGCGGCTTGCCGACTTTATTAAGTCTCATCTCGGGGTGCTTCATCAGCCATTTTTCTCTCTGCTCGTCCCAATTGCTCACCTTTGGGCCCAAGCTTTTGAGTTCTTTCCCTGGAGGCATCCATGGCATGTACAGCTCCTCCAGATCTGATTTGCTGCTGGACTCGAGCTTTCTTTGCTGAGTGCTGTCGGATTTAGCATTCTGCTCCACTCTCTCCGTCTTCGAGCTGGCGTTCTCCTTGACTTCCTCCTTAGGCACCTCCCTTGCAGCCTCCTTCACTTCCTTGGCCTTCTCGTCGATCTTCTTCTCCTCCTCGACCTCATCCTTCTCGACGATCGTCTCAGTGACACCGTTCGCCTTCAGGATCTTCTTGACGAGAATATCTTCTTCTGCTGCTGTCAGGGTCTTCGCAATCTGGGGCTTGGGTTTCTTCTTTTCGCTCTTTTTGAGAGGATGGTCTAGTTCATCAGCATCTTCGTCATCCACCAGGTCCTTGGTGTTGATCTGCAAGCCGTGCAATTTCAGTAGTAAGTCAACCCGTCTGAATTCAGGTAGGTCTGATTTCAGAAATGCTGGCATCCAACTGGTAAGATTGCAACTCCATTGTAAACGATAGAAAAAGGCAGGAATTTTCAAGTCGCACTTCACTAGAACATGAGATTCCAGATGACACCGAAGTTGGTGGAATGCAGCAGCTGCTGCATACGTAGCAGTAGATTATAACAGAAAGGAAAAGAAATTTGTACTTTTCCGATGGTTCGAGACTGGTAATCAACGAGCTTGGAGAGTGCAGAACTGGATGTTATCTAATGTTATTAGCTGCTCAATTGAATGGGGATGGAAGATGGTTGAAACACATTCCTCCAACTGAAAGGTGATTCTCATCCACGAAAATGACAAGAGCAAACCGAGGCTACCTTCACATTGTTGCGCCTTGGCGCGTTGAAAGACACGAGGGAGTGTGAGCCGGCGTCGATTTCAGGCGTGAGACTGACCGACCATCCGAAGCTGCCAGCACCGATGGTGTTCCTCAGAAGAATAATGGAGGCGAATCCACAGAGAAGGATAATTTGCATGCTGCTGAGAGTTCTGGGAAGTCGTCGGACGCCGCTCCTGAGGACATTCGCCTTGGAGTGCCATGGAAGCACGAATTCCCTCTTCCAGAAACTGACGGTTTCCTTCATTTTGTTTCTATCTGGATAATGTACTGAATGAAAAATGGATGCTCTTCCCTCAGGCCCACCTTCAGAACTGGCTGGATGTGATTTAGAGCTTACACTCCATCACTGGGCTCTCTGTTGGAATACCAACAGATCATCGTTAAGGATCGATCGGTTTACATCTACCCCTCCCTTGAATCTTCCTCTGCAAGCTCCAATCGCTTCATATATCATCTCTGCGCAGCTCAGGAGGAGCACTCGAAGAAGGCGGAGAGAGGATGCCAGTGCACTACAGAACATGCGCAGCGCACCATTGTGGGTCGTTGTCAACGAAGGGGCCACCAACGCCCTGAAATGGAGACACGTACTCGACAACCTTTTTTCCCCACTTTGCCAGAAGTCCAAGCTTCTCTCGAAAAACTTTAAGTTTTTTTTATGGGATCCACTAAATCCTCAAGAGCTACACTCCCACTCATTAAAAAATCCCAGACTCTTGATCACAAACTTACATGTCAAACCTCTCTCAGATGCAAAGGCTCGGAGTGCTCGTACTCTTACTTCTAAGTCACCGTTAGGTAATTATTCGAGTGTTTGACGAATTCAATGATCGGCAGTAGGATTCGATGATAGTCAGTTATCAACTCCCTCCCTCCCTCACTCGCTCCCTCCCTCGAGCTCTCACTGTATTACCGGCCGCTCACTATTTTATTGCTCCAGACAGACGAAGAATGTTACGTGAGCTCATGGACAAATGAGCACGCTAACACTCGGGGGATCCACAGATCTACGCTCGAGCTCTCTAGACACTGGTCCCGCAGGCAGATGATTTTCAAAGACCGGGGGCTGTAAAGTTGACGAAGACGGATTCTCATGCCACAAAGGGCGAACTACAATGGCATGCATGCAGTGATACCGCAAGGAGCCAAGGGAGACTGAACTTTCATGACGTCCAGCGCTAGCAGCACTCGTTGGAGCTATGGGCTCCTAGCCTAGCGTCGTTGATTTATTCCTTCATAATAATACACTAGCGTATATGCACAGCACAGAGAGTACGGCTTGATTCTCGGCCCCACCCCCACCAGACAGAGCGTCAGAAAGCTTTGGTGGGATGGAGCGAGTTATGGACGACTGGATCCCTTTTTTAATCTGATGCCAGAAGCCAAGGTTTCATGCCCCATATTCCCATGGTACTTTCAGCGTCTCAAAGGTGGAGCTCCTTCCAGTCACAGCGTTATACTTGCCCTTTGCTCAGGGGACACAGCACGCTAAGAATTGCTTCGACAGGAGACAATCCACGTCGGAGTCGCTTTGGATCAGTTTAACTTAGGCTGCGAGATTTTTGTGTCTTCAAAGAACCAAGTCGCTGCTGGTCTGGTGTCCACCTTCGGTCCTCGGCGTTATCTCAATGAAAAGCAACGAGAGATTTGACAGTAAAAGTAGGCCTCAACGACGCATTATCATGAAACCAACAACCAATAAATGGAGCTCCACAATTTACTTTATTGAACGAGGTCACTGGAACATAGCCTAAGGGCTGCATCCAGACACCAATCCCGATTTTACTGATTCTAATCATCAGTCGATGATGAAGCAGTTGTTTTGGCCCTCCCCGAGTTGACCCTCCCGATTTGCTAGCTCTGCTCTGGCAGACTGAGTTCTATGGATGGCTGCCCATGCCATATACTAAACGGTTGGATTTCCAAGATGACTCTGCGAATGGTTATGCTCTACTGTATCAGACCGGACGCGCAAGCTTTTAGAGAATCGGTCCACAGAATGAAATCATCGATTGCTCTCTCACTCATGGTGCTTTAATCACCCCGGACTGGCATTCGTTGACGAAGCTCTCTACCGCACTCAGAGTCGACGCTTTGTTTGATCAGCTAACTTACGTACGATTTACTACTCTCGAAGCAGAGGAAGGTTTTTCCCCGCTTTACGGCATCTTGCAGCAGTCACATTCGCCCTGGACTGATGACAGTAACGCCAGAGGTTTCGTGAGGCACTGGGTCTGTAGATCGAGCCACATTTGCCCTCAATGATATCCACCCAGATCGGGAAGCAAGTTGTCGAGAGCATTCTCGATAACTTTACTAGACTTTGGAGCGACGAGCAGTATATTGCCAATTTTAGAGACGATATGGACTGTCCATTAGACTGGTTCGAGAAAACAACAACACGTAAAATCCAATTGGAGCAGCTGTTACAATGCAGGGAACCGGTTCAGAAACTATGGCGAAGGACACGTCGATGAGAGACGTCTTACTGCAGAAGACAGAACATGAACACGAGCAGGGATATGACATACCCACAATAATACCCACAGGGCTGCAGTTGTTGAAGTTCGTCTGTTTGTGGTAAGCCATCCCATCGCATCCCATCCAATCCCATGCCTGACTGGCCAGCCCTACCAGCTTTTTCCTGGCATATTTGGGGAGAGTCCCACCCGTGTAAGGACTTGTCCTCGAGCTGGAAAGCAAGCATGTTCCTCTGCTAGATGTCTACGACAGGCACTTGTATCCAAGACATGCCGGAAAGGTGGCCAAAGTTCCCGCTTTCCAGGGCAGGATGAGAACGAGCCAAGGCCATAATACAGTAGTGACAGTAGTGGCGAGCTCTTCTACAGTAGCTGGAGGCAGTGGGCACTTCCAAATTTGACGTTGGGAGGTCCTACCCCGACGAAAGTGTTTCCGGCGTCTGGGTTCATGGCTGCCCTACGGAGCATGTGGCAGGCGTCATGACATTTCAATCCATGTCGCATTTCTTTCACCAACTCAAAAGGCTCATTCCGATTCTCGAGTATGCACTCGTTTTGCACCTCTGTGCTTGAGGCCGAGAATTTGCAGTCTGCTATGGAGGTAAAACTCCAATCCGAACACAGCTGTTGCCACCAAAAAGCACCAAAGTGCCAATGCCCAGAGGTCTCATGTCTCGGCCATCTGAGTGGAGTTGGATCCTGTGGCCCAAAATTCAATTTGGCCCACTGTTGGTGAAAGCAATCATTTCACAAAAGCAGTTAGGGCATCTCGTCAATATCCCCCAAAGCTATGCGAGATGTCGTCTCTCCGTGGGCCCTCGGCCACTGTCACCATCCGGCAGCCCACTCAGTCACTCCCTCCCTCACTCGGTGCAAGCTAATAAGCTGCTGTTAACGACAGACTCTCAAGACGAACTATTGAGTGGACTCTCAGTTGCTCGTCACAGTATATTATCAAATTAACTGTCCTAACCGGGACCACAGAAATTCAATCATTGAGCAATTGCCAATGGGCAGCTGAGCCGACTACGACCGGGAAGTTTGAATCCGCACATTGTTTAAGCAAATATCTGCGGCTCAGAAAGTAATTTCTCATAAACTGAAAAATAAGATTCTAAGTCGTATAAGAATCCATGGCGACGCGTAGAGCTCTTACTGTGGCCAAATCGAGTAGTTTTCTGTTGTCGATTAACAAAATACGTCTGCCGAGACGAGAACACTGCTCCAATCTGAGACAGAATCAATGAATATGCCGTTGTACGTACGGGTAGGTGTACGATGATCGTACATCACGGCTTCGGATTCTCGGCACCTTTCTCACTGTTGCGTCAACCAAAATCCACTTGAGCTGAGCTCGCACTTTGGCTGGCCAGGCACGAAAGGTGTCGTTCGAAGGTTACATGTGGAAGGAAGGACGTCGTGTACGCGTCGATGCTACCCATACTCTCTCTGTTCATGCTTTCTCGATGCGCCACTAGCTGGCATGAGCTCGACAGGTGCTGAAGGTCCGATGTAGCCTTTTGCCTGAACAGTTTGTTTGTCAGAGAGCTGAATCAGACTCTATGGGGAGCTCGGGTAAGTACATCATGTGGCAGATGTTCTTCACCTATCGATGGATCGGGCAAAAGCAGACTATTCTCTATCCTGTGTAGGCTCGCTCTGGTCAAACGAGGTCGTTCGGTCTGAAAAAGCCACGGTGCAATCTTTTGCACCGATCTTGTTAGGGAATGCAGGTGAAAAGTTGCCCAGATGCATATATAATAACGAGAGATACTCCTCTACAATCAACGCGGTGGAGATGAAAACTGCCAGGGGAGCTGCTGCTTGGGTCCCGAGCACATGTACATGTATCAAGAAATTCCGGATGTGGTTGGATCTTTGGAATCCGATGGAGGATTGCTTGGGTCTGTAGTAAATTTATCATCGTACGCCATAGTGGTTGTCACAGTGCTGGACAATCAATGTGTTATGATTGAGCCAAATATCTTACACTCGATTCGAGGGCGTGCGCTCGTACCTGTATCAATTTCACAGAGCAGGAAGAGCAACTCTGCTTTCTGTTTGTTCTCGGCCTTGCTTCGCAGATATTTGAAGGCACTAACATAAATCTCACTGCAGAAGTCAAACGATGGTAATGATAGTCATTGACAGAGCACCTGAAAAGAACGCTGGATTGTCAGCAAGTATAAACTCTGTAATCAGACTGAACAAAGTTTAAGCTAAAATTAATTGGATTCTCCTACTCATGAAATCCAACATGTCGAGAACTCACGATCTCGTGCTCTTCTTTCTCCCTACTGCTATCGATGGAGATAGCTTGCGCTCAACCGGGACACCATTATGGTGGAGTGCAATCAATCAGTTAATGACCCTAGCTTAACGCAGTTTTCGGTACGCTCGTTGACTCGAGCAGTGGAGCTCTGCTTTGTAGCTACTCTGAAACCGAGTGAACAAAGGAGCTTCCATCATGCTGGTGGTATCTCGAGGCCATGCATCACCCAACGTTGCTGGTTGTTTTACAGAATCACTTGCCCTCTGAAGGTAAAATCCTCCATTTCACTTTCAGGTCTTTAAGCCTGGGCCAGAATACTGTGTCTTTCGAATTTCATGTGTTCAATCATCACTGCGTACAATGTAGTCGAGAAATAATGTTCGATCACGTTCGAGAGCAATTTTTAGAAATGTCAGGCCTCTGACTGATGTTTCAGATACTCTGATTCTCTTTCTCCATTGACCACACCTTGCAGTGTCCTCTCTGAATCTTGTGGCCCTTGCCGTCGACGGGAATTTCCTTCATTACGATTTCTTAGGTACTCCGATGCGAAGAACCTTCCCACAGAAAACTTTGTGAGCTCGTTGCCTTCTTCGGTCATGGAGAATGTGGACTTTCGTACATGAATCCAGATAGTCCAGCTAGCGTCCGAATTGGAAAAGGCCAATTTGTATTTGATCTCGAGATGGTTCACTAAAGGCAACGATTTACGAATATACGATGTCCTGTGGACCAGGCGAGATCACAGAGTTTGTCACTTAACATCATGATCACATCGGCAGAAATCAGATAAATTTGGTTTCAGGGTGACGGTGAGGTGCACACAACCCTCAAGTTTATACGGCGAAGATGAAAAGCACAAAGGGAACGTCACTTTCCTGAATGTACTTCCGAAATGATAATTCATGAGGCCTGTTGCACCTGCAGGGATTCCCGAAAGAGAATCTTTTTATGGCTCTTCGAGTTCTAGAATCTGTACACCAACACTCTTACAGTAGACCTTGACTGGAAAGCACACGGTGATCTACGACTTTGACATTGTGCGCTGACAGTGATGAAGCATGACCACAAATGCATGTTCACTGGTGGATGAGGAAACGATCACAGATCCGAAAGTCAAAATAGATAGATGTGGATATCTCGAATTTCCAACTTCCACCGAGTGTGGGTACTTCTATCTCTCGTAACTTGCTCCTGTCAGAATGAATCTCCAGGAAATTGGATAGCACCTGGTGATAAAATAAGAAGCCCCCGGATTCTGGTCAAGCGAGCGAAAAACACCAGGGCTCTCTCTCAAGAGCACTGACGCCAAAGGGGCAGCCAGCCACACTCAATAAAATGAGATGTGGTTCAGATCTTCTAGACTAGTGGCCTCGAAAAAGCCCATCACATTATTAGCAGGACCTCTTTTGAAATCGATAGCCATGGAATACAGGGCAGCCCGACATGAGTCTCCCTCCACTCCAGTTCCACTTTCTCCTCCCCCCAAAAGCTTTTCGAAATTTCAGAACGGATTGATTTATCTCGCTGCATGTCAGAGCAGCACCTGCACCAGGGTGTGCGGATCGAGGCGAGAAAGTTTTTCCTGATGATTAAAGCTAATCTGGTAGCGGACGGGTGGAACAGATAAAGCCCTCCTCGCACTACTGTTTCCATAAAGTGTGGATGTACGCGAGTGCAAACCGAGGACCAGCGAACCAACCACGGCCTCCAGCTGACATCGCTCTCTCTCGGACTTGACGACCATGATTCTGAGAACGACATCTCGCTCACCAAAAGCCATCACGCACTCCACTATCGCACTGAGCTAATAAACTCTTGAGCCAGATATTATTATTATCCAGGGAAAACGACTTCACATCGTCTACGACCCAACACCAAATTTGTCAAAATACTCGTGGCATGCTGTGCTCCAAGAGTGCTTACCTCCACACATGGTGCTCGGAGTCATCAAAGTGTCCTAGCGGGGACATCTCGTAGCAAGCGACTTCACATCCGACCTCATTCGCCAGAAAATTGGTTCCTGAATCTCACGACAAAGGCAAAAAGTCAAAGTAGTTGTACATCTGAAACGTATGTGCCCAAGATGTGGTCCTACGTACATGTTGCTGCGAGTATATCCGTCGGACTTTCAGAGAGCGAGAGAGGTTCGATTGTGTTTTTTGGTTTCACCTAGACGACTTTGGTTTGTTCATATGCCTGACAGCAAGCCATGTTGGCCACGACACGGTAGGTCCCATCCAGTCCATTCTCAGAGTGGGTCCGGATGCTTAGCACACCTTCAAATTTAACCAGACATCTCGGAAACAAATATCTTGTCTCCGAGGGGTGGAGCTAAGTGACAAGGTGGCGCCTTGTGGTATGAGAACATGCGGAGGTGGGAAGGAATGATACGTATAGCTGTATATTCTTCCGCACTCCGCATTCAGCGTTACGGAATGTTAAGAATGTTTTACGCAGAACAATCGCTCGAGCAGTCCGACGATTGATGCAGAGGAGAATGATTGATTCATTCATTAAAATATTCAACGTGTGAGTTAGCATCACAATGGAACTCTGAACGTCCAAGTTCAGAGCATGTATCGGGCAAGGCAGTCGATGACGACAAACCATGGAGTAGTGGTTTTATTCGTATAGGACGGTTGCTAACGAGCTGAGCTGACGTGTTGTTCTCTCGAATGTGCCAAGCCCTGCAATTTGGGCAATGTGTGTGCTTCATCTTCCAGCTTTCTGCCTTCTACTTTTACGAAGTCGGTGCTATGAACTGCATTCCTCAGATTCCCTCGCACGAGTACTGTAATAGTACTGTAAGTGGAGCTTTTCTCACTACGTAAGAATCTGATGTACCTTTAGTTTTTTATGGAGTTCATCAGCGGAAAGCTTTTGACTACAAAGATGACAACCTAGATGACGATGGTGTGTGTTCATGACAAGGCATATGTTGAGTTACTAAAATGTACTTGCTTAATGTGAGGTTGTAGCTTCGTTGTCGGCTTGTCGACATTGTTTTGATTCGCTTCAGTTTTGGTGTAGGAAAGGATACGGATCCTATGGTATACTGGCCAAGGCCCCCAACTCAACTGGCAGGTGCTACCATCGAACAGTGAGCACAAAATTAGTCCACTGGATGCAACTTGGTTATGTGTTCTAAATCCCCTTATGACATATCACACGCGGACCCTCGACACATCTTAGAAGTGATAACTGGAACCGGTCTGATGATTCTTCTTTTGAAGAGAGAGGCATGTTGAGGTCGAGGAATTGGAAATCTCCGCTGAGTTTTGTTGGGCCTATTTTGCGTTGACGTGTATGGTCATTTTCCCTTATTCATATCATTTTAATACTCTATCGTGCAATGTGTTCCCAGATTTTATGATACCCCTTTGAAAAGATCTCATGATGCTAATGATTTGCGTTGACTTCAGTTCTCTCGTGGGTTCTTGATCCTTTTTTCTTATATGGTTTCCCTCCTAGTTTTCAGCCTCGTGTGTCACCGATGTCCTTATATAATATATGAGAGAAATATGCATGGGACAGCAGGGATTTGTTGAATTATCGTGAAGTAGTTTTCTGTACCTTCTACTCCATCATGCACGTAAGAGATGCGGGTTGAGTAAAGTTTGAGATTTTTGTTGACCTTTCTTACGAAAATATTACAGCTTCAAAATTTGCCGCCGTTGAAAGTCATCGACCTTGTGGAACTCATGCTTATATTTTTCTACAAAGCTACTAGTCTGCACGAACCTTTTTATGTGGTGATCATTATGAAAGTCCAACGTAAATCCGGAGGCAAATATATCGTTCTGAAGAAATTCACTTAGATATTATTTTCTTGCCACTACTAGACGACCAATAAATGCCATAGACGATCGCGACGAATTGCTTGCACGAAGCTTTTATGAAACTGTACTTACAAGGTGCATTTCTCGTGGCCAAGGAATAAATCGGGAAGGTGCACCAACAACAACAACAACAAACCGAAGATGCACGCTGAGGGCATGAAGTTGTGTCATATTACATTTAGAGTTGATCCAGATCTCGTGTTTCTTGCCTTCAAGTTGGTATCCTATAATGTATAGAGTTATGTTCTTAATTTAAAAGAATGGGACAATTTCCTTCAAGTTGGTAATCTACAATGTTTAGATTTATGTTCCTAATTTAAAGAATGGGAAAATTGCCTTCAAGTTGATATTCTATAATGTTTAGAATTATGTTCCTAAATTTAAAGAATGGGGGAATTGCCTTCAAGTTGGTATTCTATAATGGTTAGAGTTATGTTCCTAATATTAAAGAGTGGGAGAATGGGCCACGCATCCGATCACAATGGAAGAAAAATCTGAACGAAAAAGAGCAAGGGCCCAAATAAATGAAGCACAGAGGGAAAGAGAAGATGTAATGTGGTTAGTGAAGTGGAAATCTCTCCCTCCTCCTTAGAGAAACACTGTCCTCACAGAAGAAAGAGTTTTACGCTCGACTGACAAGCAGAAAGACGAAAAGAAAAGTAGAAAAATCACTCTCTTACAGCGATTTGTATAGCTCTAGAAATCTTACAAAAAAAACGAGGGTGTTCAAATCTTAACCAATAGTCAACGAGTAGAGCCAAACCGTATTCCAAGTCAAATCCATGATATAAGAGGTAGCTGCGTAGAGCTCTAGAATTATGAATTGGGCATTCGAATATGATCTCATATAAGTTCATATAAGTTCAAACTTGAGCCGAAACGCACAAAAAGTCATTTCGACGATATTGTAGGTTCTGTACTTGGATGATGTAGAAGCGGGACCAAGTGATTTATCAAAAAGGATGGGGAGGCCCATTTAAGCACGACATTGATGAAAACAAAACGTTGAACACGGCCTAGTCTCAAAAGAGCCGAGCAAAAACTGTATTTTTTATTGCACCTAACAAATTAAAAATCATAGATCAGACGCTGGTGCATAAAGAGCATGAGTGTGGGAATCGGCATCACTTAGAAGATTGCACTAGGTAGTGTTCTATGTCTCCAACTTCCTATCAACTTCCATATCTCCACAAAGTCCTATATAGGAAATCCAAATTTGCGTACTTAGTATAAGTCTGAGGTACGATATATGACAACATCTTCATAGATTTTTTGTAATTTGGTTTCCAGTCAAATCGCTTATAATAATCAAGGTAATGCAAAGAGTGAATCGAGTGAGTTTAATAGCTTATCTTCTTTGTTAACAATACATGTCCAAGTTTATCGATGGACTAGTAATAATGAAATTTTAATTTCAAAACTAGTACATTTTCCATATGTTTTTCATCTATCATAATAGTATACGTTATACGCTAAAACTGAATGAATACATCTCTAAAAAAAATAAAATGCTGATGATTATATACAACATATGTGGAAAGTCATCTGTAGAACTCTCTGTAGTGTAAGACATATATTTCTTATCACAAGGTACATCCCTTTAAATACATAGCGATGACAAGACTTTTTGCAATTAAATTATTTTTTCAGATATTAAAATATATTAAATAATGATTTAAAACGTATAAATATGTTATTAAAATATTTATATAATTTTTTAATTTAATCAAGAAAATATAATACAAATCTTGATTTGGATAATTATTTTCTCAAAATCAATAGAGCAAAATTAACTAGATCAATTATTAATGATGAATTAATAACTGTGGATCAATTATTTTCTCAAAATCAACGCTCCCACTCTATAGAGCAAATAAGTAGGTTATCAATACATGGCTGACGGTGGCCGAATGGGGTCCCATGGGGTAAATTGAAACCTGTCGGTCCGTTCAAGAGGTTTGAGTTTCCAAGGGTCCATCAAGCAAATTTCTCCTGTAATTTGGAAGATATACATATAAACATGTAAAGCTCACTAGAAGAAGAAAAAGATATGGGAGCATCCACGTGATTTGAGTGTGTAGGTGTGTCGGCTGTCGTTTACGTGGCGGTTAGCCATGGCGAGCAGCAGCCGTGACAACCAGAGCTGGGCTCACGCCTTGGAGCAGGAAGATGTGGCATTGGCCCGGTCGGGCTGCAGCATTAAATTCTAGAGGCCATCGAGCAAATTCAGAAAATATTTAAAGTTTTCTAACAGTAAATATGTCTTCTTCGGCTCCTGGAAAAAGACTGCAGAAGAAACACTCCTGGAATGAGGAAGAAGCAAAGACCGAAATTCAATTCCCCTTCTGGTAAGTATTCTTACAGGACAAAATTTTGTTGCAGAGTGAAGAATGCCAAATCTCGTTGAGGAGGGCCCTCGACGCGTACCTGGCCGCTTTATTCCAGCTGTGCTCCGCTTGAGATTTTCTCCACGAGCTTATCTTGAGCTCGCAACATTGATTGCATCGTCGAAGAGGTAAGCCGCAAGTTCCAGAAGAGGTCAAGATGACCTTCGCCTTTGTGTTGGAGGAGAGGATGTAGGGGATCGGCCCGTCAAAAGCGCATTCCGGTTCGGAAGTGAATCCTCAAATGTCAAGCGCAAGTACAAACAAGAAGAAAGCCTTCGGTGTCAGGAAAGGCAGCACACCGAAAAAGATTCGCGTCTAAACTCTTGACAGTCAATGGGTGAAAGAAGTTCCAGAAGGCACGTAAAACGACCGATAATCTAACCAAGTTGATCGATGCCCGAAAATTCCGCACACTCGACTCGGTTAACTTCCTTCGACTAGTTCTCCGAGCGCTAACCCAATGTTTAGACTTCAGCCTCCCCCGAACTCTGACAAAATCTCGACACAACGCAGTTAAACCTTCCTGCAGTGGTCCCTTGTCGATCAACTCTCCGATGGCCGCCGTGCCTTCTCCGTCCATTCATTCCAGCTCTTCAATTTCGCCAAGCCCCACCAGAAAACGAGAGCAGCCCTCGACGTCCAGACTGGAGGACTGAACGACAGTTTCGTCACTCGAACGCCGAATCGATCACAATCCTCCGCATAACGTCCACTAATGCCCGTCGCAGGTGGGGGTGCAATGACTGATCCAGCCGGTCAGTTACACGACGAGCAGCTCTAGAGTTTGATTCTGTGAAGCCGGTCGACGGTGGAAGGTCCCGGGAAAGGCCGGTAACCGGTGCGTCGTCGGGAAGGACAGGTGTCTTAGCGTAGCCACCGGGTGACCGACTAATCAGGCAGTGGGGCTGCTGGGGCCGGGGGGCTGAGGGAGGCTCCGAAATTTTCTGAGTGGCGCCATCGCCAGCGGCGAGCATTGGCTGCGACGAGCTCGTTCGTGTCACGAGGCCAGCGCAAATTCAGCTCCGCGATTGTTTGCGGCTGCTCGTTGGAGAGGGCATTAACTGTGGGAGGCGGGGGGGTTCGTATCTCGGCGCGGCGATCGGCATGCAATTGCGGCCATGATCATCAGCAAGTGAATGTTTGATGCTCACCGCAGTAGCAGCAGCAGCAGCAGCATCAGCAGGTACAATCAATGTGTTTGTCCGATCCGACACAGTCCTCACCAGCGCCAGGAATCGCAAGCGTTTGTTCCACCTTAAACCCCCGGGTCGCTGCCTGGAAGATCGAACTTCGGGCTCGTGTGTTCCGAGTTCGATCGTCCGTTCTCTCGCCCTGCCTCCGGACGTCGCTCTCCTGGAGGCCTTGAACGAAGGTCAGTCAGTCGGTCCGTCCGTGGGTCTGATGATTTTCCTTGTCATTAGCGATCGTGATTTCGAGTCTTGCTAGCCCGTACGTGCAGAATTTTTATTGCCACGATAAAGCAGTCGCACGGGGTGGCAACTTGTGCAGAATTGCATGTTCAGTGTTCATAGAATCGTACCTTTGCTTTGCTTGTTCTCTCTCTCTCTTCCATGCCTTTGAGACGCAGATGAGTGTGACGAAGGAAGGCGAGGCAGCAGCCTCAGCCAATTGCATGCACTGCAATCACTTGCTTATATATGCATGCTACGGATTATAGAATCTCGGAATCCACTGCGAAAGGCAAGGTTTCTTCTTCTTCTTTTGTCCTCGCTGATTGCAGCTGTGGCGTGATGTAGGGGCGAGAAGCGACTTGCGATTCTCGGATGCTACGGTCTGCATCAACATCTGCCCTCTCTTTGGCGTGGCGGCTCCGCATGCGAAACTGTCACATGCTGGGAATGTAGCCCAAATTTAGCCAGTTGGAGTCCCGATTGAGCTCAAATCTTTACTCTTTTCTCGCACAAAAGTGAAAAAGTTGTCTTCTCAGATCGAATACGAGAGAGAGGTGACTTGAGCTCCCGCGGACCTCGAGAAACACGTTTCCTGCACTTGATAGATCTCGATATTCTGCCGCCGGAGCTAGGCAATCAGTACTAGTCTAGTTCTCAGACCAAACCCCTCCAAAAGCCTGCAGCAGGAGAGCAGCAGGCCAATAGAGAGGCTCGAACCTAGCAAGCTCGCAGCAGCTAGTTTAAAAAGGAAGTCCTTTGCAGGATCGTTGGAAGAACTCGTTCAATCCGAGGAGCTTCAGTCATGAGTCGGCTTCCGTAAGATAGAGACCGAGTGATCGCAAGTCCAGGGGTTTTCTACCCCGTCCATACAGCTTGAGGCTTGGAGCTCAACAGGCCGAGAGGGGACAATACAGCAGCAAGCACTCTGAGTGAGGTCTTGGGCCTGCAGCACGAGCGAGGAATCCCATCACAGTTAACAACAATCATCCTGTTTTCCTCGATCCCCGGCGAATAAAAAACGAAAATGAATTGCGTATTGAGAGATTCGATGGGTCTGCTCGTGTGTTACATTATCCTTTTCAGTGGTCTCGTAGTTCTTCCGCAGGGAGGTCTCGGGGCTCGGATGAATTCTGCCTCGAAAGAAGGGGGTTTCCACCCTTCCACGACGAATTCGAGTCTGACGCAAGAGGTCGAGGTTCAAAAGCAGGCCCCTCGAGCGCCATTTAAGTTGGGGCCGAAGATTCACAACTGGGATCAGCAGCGAGCAGCATGGCTGGCCAAGTACCCGCACAAGAGATTGACCCCTCAGGGCAGGCCGAATATGATTCTCGTTACAAGTTCTCCACCGGAGCCGTGCCCTGCTGCGACCGGCGACCACTTCTTGCTGAAGTCCATCAAGAACAAGATGGACTACTGTCGGCTGCACATGATCGAGATATACTACAACATGGCGATCATGGAGATGGATGACTTTTGGATCAAGCTGCCAATTATTCGGAAGCTGATGGTGTCCCATCCCGAAGCAGAGTGGATCTGGTGGATGGACAGTGATGCCATTTTCACAGATATGACCTTCGACTTCCCCGTGGAGAAATACGAGGGCCGGAATCTCGTCGTTCACGGATGGGATAAAGCAGTGTACGAAGACAAGGCTTGGGTGGGTCTGAATGCCGGCATCTTCCTGCTGAGGAACTGTCAGTGGTCTCTGGATCTCTTGGACATGTGGGCTCCTCTGGGGGAGAAATATGGCAATCACAAGAACGAAGTCGGGGACTTTCTGTCCAAGGAGCTCCTCGGTAGACCCAATTTCGAAGTCGATGATCAAGCTGCGTTGGTGTGGGTCCTGTACTCCAAGCCAGAGCTCAGACCGCACGTCTTTCTGGAGAATTCTTACCATCTGCATGGATGGTGGGTGGACCTGACGGCCCATTTCGACGAGATGATCACAAAGTACCACCCGGGCGACGGTGGAAGCAAATGGCCCTTCATCACCCACTTTGTCGGTTGCAAATTCTGTGCCGGCAAGTACAATTCATCGTCCCTGGAGAGATGCTATTACGAGGTAGAGAGAGCTTTCAATTTGGCTGACAATCAGGTCCTCAAGCCCTACGGGTACCAGCACGAGTCCCTCTCAAGTGTGGATGTCAAGAAGGTCTCAGATGAAGTCACCCATCCTTTGGAACGTCTGGGCATACGCTTGACGGATTAGACGATCAGATTCTCGCCAGTATGAGCGGTATAATTTTGCGGATTCATACAAAACGTACAGGTATAGAATTCCATAATCTTTTTGCTTTCACTACAGCCAAACGATCACCCTCTGAGCAGAAGGTTGCTCAAAATGAGTTGACTGCCAACTCAAGGGAGATGGAAACTGTGCATAATTTGTCGCTAAAAATTGGTGGCCACGATAGGACATTTAAAAACTGTAGTTGTCTAGCTATTCTGGTACCACACTAGCAGTGTTGGGCCATTTGTATCGTATCATATGCTACAGATTTGTTGGATTCATACAGCAAAGAACGTACTGGAAAAGAAATCCATCTCCAACGTACAAAGTTTGAATAAAAAGGTTGGACTTACAATCGTGTCTTGATTGATGGATCAGAGGAGAGTCGTAAACTGGATGCGGCTCTGTTGATGACTCAGTTTGATGTATGTGGAACCGATCTGACCAATGACTTTGTTCTGCTCTAGCAGAATGGCCATGTACGTGCTTGTGACAACATACATGCATGAGGAAATGACCTGAGAGAGCAAGCCATGATTTGCCAGCTAGTATGAATGTCGATATGCGAATCCCCTGGTCATAATTTTCAATCCTCATTTTGATTTGTGAAGACTTCAGTACGGCATCTGTTTTTGCTCTCTTTAATTATCATTCCTTATTTTTTGAACGTTTCTAAAAGAATGCATGATTGGACTTACCAATGGTAATGAATTATAAACTTGCGATGTTTACATTTTGAGCGTGGTGTAGTAACAGCAGAACTGAAATTTCTTTCATTTATATATGAGCATATAACAAGAAGCAGAGGATACGACTTTCATCTAATGGGTTAAATCTCTCATTCGCTATATCTGCCCTTTTCATCCTGGTCATACATGAAGTAATCGAGAAGGACCGACTCATACAAGCGTTGTATGACTTGTCACACATCGAAGTACTGATTTTAATATATTTAATGTTTAATGGTTTTTTTAATCAAATGTGAATTATATCTCCTATGAAGTTTTATCTCGACAGGTAAGAAATTCTAAGTGCAACAGGACCCTATATCCTAGCCCATTCTCTTTCGTACATGTTCGACTGGATGAGATCAAAGAGGCGTGTACGAAAGACGGGGCAAATGAGCATAGTAAACCTGCAGCTGGACATTTGGAGAGCTGACATGTGGGAGAGAAAATATCGAAAGCAATGCCTTTACTGAGCGAAGTAAGCAGTAGACAAGAGCATAGTGCCGGAACTTAGAGTGCAGGTAAGGACAAAAGCCTTGCCACCGGTGATGGGTGCGGATCATTCGTGAAGATGCATCGTCGTACTATGTCTCTCGATTTGAAGAATTTCAACCGCATGGTGAACTGTCACGAGGAGGTTTAGAAACATGTTCGTACCGATCCCCATCCCGAAGCCACGTTATGAGCCCTGTCATGCCTTCTGACTCAAAGCTCTCGCACACTTCCCAGATTTAGACTCTGAACAGTCGACTGTTGCACTTCTCTTGCTCCCTCACTGGCGCATTTTGTCGACGAGCGCTGCATCAGCTTCCTCCTGAAGCTCTGACTCCTGAGAATTGCGCAGTCAGCCTTGCTGTAAGCCATAACCGTTTGCTTCCCTATGAGGCCTGACTTTAAAGCTGCTGGAGCAGAGGTTCATCTGCGTTCAACCGACTCAAGCTGCTCGATCTACAAAATGACAATCCGGTGTTATGGCGATAACTCGCTGCCTCTCGCTAAATGTGTAATTCGCAAGTTATATCTTGTATAAAGTATGAAACATATACCACTTAAAAGAAACCGATATTATGAGAGATCCACTCTCATTTTTATATCCGGAGGTTCATGAGCTTTTTCAAGAAAATTGATTTTCATTTGTGATTTATAAATCCAAGTGAATGTGCTGACCATATACGATCTGGATGTTTATATGAACTTCAATCTTCACGTCGCTTGTAATGCCCACAAACTTAAGACGTTAAGTCAAAAGAATGCTTTATCGTGCAGTAAGTGTATTATGTCACTTTTGATCGGTTTTTTTTTTTCAATTTAGTGTACACTGCCAAAAGTGGAGCCTTCGCATTGAGAATCTTCTTAAGTTGTTTCCAAGAAGATGAATATAGTCTCTACGTTAACTGACAAGTAGCAATTGAACGTGGTATTAAAGAAGTACGAAAGTCAAAAGCTGGAAATTCATGTACGTCAAGTGCTATCGACTTGTACTAGTTGATGAACACTATCCGGCAGCCATGAAAGAAACATAAAAGCTTATAATTTAGTTGTTGGAAATCACAATGCCAATCTACAAATAACATCATAATGGGTTCCACATTCGTCATTGTATTAGGAATGTCAATTCCTATTTTTACATATGGTAGACTCAACTAAGGCTTATATCTAAACTGAAACTTTATTCCCTCTTCAACTTGTATAATTAATATTTATCTATATTTCTCCTCGTAAAGCTTGATGGTGTCTAGCTATCATGTTTTTATACCACATGGCCGTGTTATGATTTATTTACTTTTGTATAAACAAGCACATTTATAATTGTTTTGTAAAGTTTTTCATTCATTTTCCTTTGTTCCAATTTCAAACGCTTTTGTTTCTTTTCTTTTGAAAAATATATCTTGTAACACATATAACTCGTGTATGTATAAACACATACATACACGAGCCTACCTTGGAAGATAGTGACAATATTAATAATTCTTGTCACTTTCCTAAGCACTAGAACTTACGCATATTCTCTCACATTCTGCCGGTCACTAGCTGAAAATGCTGTGAGCAGAAAATTTCGAAACGCGAAACGTGCCCACTAAGTCGATCATCGACATTAGATTTGTGTGTGTGTCAGTGTGAATTATCGAAGCTTCTATAACACGTCCAGGAGGATGGTGGGTCTCAAGGGGCGGGTTTCAGACAGTATTATTTTATGCGAGTGAGTACTCTTACTTTGAGCTATCTTTGAGCTTTTAATCCAGATTAGAAGCATCTCCACAGGGCCCGCAAACTCAGGATCGAGGATCGAGAATCCAGATCTTGAAGCGAATGTGCGTGCACGAAGTCCAAGCATCTGGTGTCTAATAAGTGGAGCCTCGACAGTTTGATGGTACTCACTGACTACCATCTCCACTTATGACTACTAGTCAGGCGCGATTCAAGTTTTCGTGCATAAAGCATGGAGGTTCGAGTCAGGACACAACAAGAAGACTTGAATCGGCCCTTCCAGCATTAATGTGGTCTGCTGGTGATGCGCATGATTGTGTACGAAGCCAAGTCAAGTAAATTGTCCGTAAAGCCAACGAGCAAGCACAAAATGTTTGGATCAGCCGAATTCTTATGTGTATCGATAAGAACGTACAGACATGGTATAATACGAACTTCTAAATTAGAGGTGTCAAAACCTCGTCCTAATTGACTATCTTATTCCAGATGGTCCAAAGTATGTGACAGAATCGTGTGGTCAGCGTGACCGCTTCAGCTTACGAACCGAGCTGGCTGGCCTACCTGAAGCTTCTGCCTCATATCGAACGCAGCGATGGATGCAGAGATCGTACAGAGATTCTCGTACGGGAGCAATGATCGGTTACTGATGGCATCGAATGTGGGGCTAAAGAACCCATCTCAGGACGACTTAAGGTCATCCATGTCTACACTCTTGAGGAAATTGTGATTCTCTTGGAGGATCGGAGAAAAAGAGGACACGAACTTTTCTATCTCGGAATTTAAGTTACCGCCTCCGAGAAGATCGTAGAACTTCTTCCGGTCAGGCACCAATTTCATGGCCACTGCGAAGGCGGCACCCGCCATCCAGCCATGCCATTTCTTCAAAGTGACACCATACGCCTCGTTCGAGGCTTGTTGCATGGTCCAGTCCGGATTCAGCAGCAGATTGCGGAAGAGCTCCACCAAAAAGTCCATGGCTCGGGTCAGCCAGAGCAGCCCATTTGTACAGCTCGTGGATTTCTTGGCCGTCTTGTCTGCTACTTCCTTGCGGACGATGTCGTAGAGTAGATAGTAGGACGTCGAATCCGTGGCATATCTGGCATCCAGTCTGTCAATGTTTCCTCCGACGTCGGACTTCACGAGCGACATGGACGCTCCGAATTTGTCTATCACCGGCAGCACCAGACGGCACACGTCCAGAAACGGCTTCGTCAGAGTATCTCCGGTCGGCGATTTCACATGCGGCATGGCCTGCAATGCCGGAGTGAAGACGGTCTCCGTCATCGTCAGAAACGCCTCGATTATCTTCCTCCGAAGACAGATCAGCAACTTCTCCTGCGAGATTTCTGCACACACAGATTTCGCATCGCAGGCAGGGATTAGCACGGATCTCCATCCTGTGTTATGAGTAGAATTTCCCGCCACCGATCCATGTCGCATCTGCAAGCCAGCTGTTGTAGTATTCGCCAAGCAAAGCAATACAATGCAATCCATTCAACTCTAGCCGAGGCCATCCATCCCACGGCCTGTCAAATAGCAGGCAATCGAAATCAAAGCAACGAGAGAACAACAGCAATGGGTGATCCTTCTTCACAAGGAGCAGGCAGGCACGCAGGTAGGCAGGTGGGCGGGCGGGCTCACCAAAATTCCTGCGATCTATGGTGGAAATCCGTGGATTCGAGGGAGGTGGAAGAGCAGGCAGGAAGCTAGGCAGCAGATCGCCCTTGCACCGAAGACCGATCGCTGCGCTGCTGCCAGATCTAGCGAGAGATGGAACTCTGTCGCAAGTCCTTTAGCTCGCGGGCGGGCTCTGCCTTCAGTGCATCTGAGATCTGCTGATGTCTTCCTTGATCAGTCGTTGCATCTGAGATCTGTTGTCCACGTATTTATGAAAGTCGCACCCCACGAGTGGCTCCGATGTGCGCACTGTCGTCTAGCCTTGCCCGAACTTCACTTCATTCTCCGAATCTCCAATTCTTCGCTGCATCTTTCCATTTTTAGCCTCCTCAGTGGAATCCATACATCCATCTCTGCACGAGTCCTTCTGCACACGGCGAACCACAGTTACCGAGACCCTGCACTGAATGGTTTACGAGGTGATGCAATCATTGATCCAGGAAGACATCAACAGATCTCGGGTATCTAAGCGCTCGGCCGATCAATGACGCCAGCCTGATTCATCCCCCGCGTTTGATTTCGCCATTACGTTCAGAATTTGATAGTGCGTTTGTGCGAACTGATCTGAGTAACTAGATGCATGATAGAAAATTATCAAAACGAATTTCGTTTACAGGGGTTTGATGTCAAAGGGTGAACCTCAGAAAACCAGAAAACCCGCGGTTGATGATGATGATGCATGTGAAACAAGAGAACATTCGATGACGTTGTAGCTCGTCAGATTTCCAGAGCGAACTGGACTCTCTCGTTGTTTTCGTATAATAATTATCAAAATATTTGAACAGTATGCACAGCAGATGACAAACTTATTGAACGCCATCTTCAACTTTTCTGTTATCAAGCTTGAGCCAACTCGTCTTCTGTCGAGCGTACGAGTTCTCGGCAACAATGATCACGTCAGGCTTCGTTAGAAATGCGCGAGATTGAGGACAGTAATCTTGAAGTGCTACTCTCAAACTGCTACCATATAATGTGAACCTGAAGAAAAGTTATCTTTGGTTCAAGAGTATCCATTCTGGTCTTATCAACAAATGTGTCCATGACACAAAATGACCTCTCCCTTGTCATATCAACAAATAAGACAAGTGGAGGTCACAGTGCTCAAGGATTGGACGGAACATTGCATTTCGGTTGAAAGGTCTACTCGTTTCTCGTTGCAAGTAACTCGTGCCTGTTGCCTATGAGAAAAGTTGATAGTCATCAAGTGTTCAAGCGTACCATCCATGCGCCTTGCTGGACACGATAACGCTTTGCTTTCTGAATCTATGAACAAAATGTGAACCATAGATATCGGGATTTCATAAATGACAAAGCTAGAAAAGCAGCATAAGAAGCCTGTCTTATACCGAGGGTCTAACCCTGACGATGGAAGCTATCGATTTGTCTTGTGACTCTGTCTGAAATCTCCATTTTAGCTTTTTCTACCAAGAGTGAGATTATGACCTCCTTTGTGGTACTTCTTTGGCATGATTGTCGAGCTAATGTCGGATCTAACTGTAGGGTAACTAATATCTACTCTAAGATAATTTTTTTCCATTAGAAAAGACAGGAATTCTCGTTGCTTGCAAATGACTTATTTGGCTCTTTTGCAGTCCAGCGCGTTTGTCTTACCCTTATCTATCACTACATAACAAACTAACGGTACTGAAACTAGGGAACAGAGCATGTGACCGATGAGACGGGTAATGTAACCCAGCTATGGTTTCTCACTTGAAGAAGATGTGACAAGTCAAGATGTTGGTAAAAGGAATAGTGGAAGGATTACAATGAATTTTGGGAATGAGAGTATAATGAGTTCTGAAGGATGTATAAAACTTCACACTTAGCTTCAAATATTCATAAACACGTATGTACATGTTTATAAATGTTTGCAAAAAAGTCATTTGGTTTGTCCTTTCAACAATTGGAGATCATATTTAGCAGATTCAAATACAGTAGACTGAGCATGAAAACACGAGAATGAAGGTTATGATATATTTTACAAGTTTTTTTAGGTCAAATTAAAAGTTGTTTTATTGAAGAGCAGATTGTATCAAATTCGAGAATGAAGTTATCAACTGAGACTTTTCAACAATAATTCGAAAAAAATAAAATTTCAAAACGCTTCAGAAAACTAGAAACAAATAATGATGATATACCAACACATCTCAGTTTTAAAGAATTTGATTCTCCTAAATTTGTAATAACTTTTATAAATGTGTACATATTTATACATTTGATATTTAATCCATCCATGTGAAACATTTAAAAAAGACCATTGATTTATTGAAATGAATCTACATAAAATGATGATCGTCCCAAATGAAGATACTCATTGCCCTTGAAAACGATTGTATCCAAAAGAGTCTTTTACAGTACATCTTCAACTTTGAGCTAGATAGTACCTTATTCTATGTTAATAGATCGATACTACTCGCTTTGTCTTGTAGTAAATGTAGAATAGCTCTTTTACAAAGTCTGACATGCAGACTAACCTCCCTTCTTCGTGAATTCAAATCCACTAATGAGCCTTACGATTATATCCCATAGTTCATTAGAATTCACAAAAAATGTCTTGGTTTTGCCCTTGCTGTGACTAGGATATGGTGTCTATTGCACTTTACTAGAAATTGTACTTCTTCATGAAGCGATCAATTTGTTGAATTTCGTTCTTCTGTTAAGTTTATCTTTCTTGAAAAAATTTACGTTCACTGCAGAGTGACCTGTTCATAAAATCGTTTGCACTTATCTTATGCAGAAGTTGACGTGAGTATCTTGGAGTCAAAGACTGTAGTTTACTTTAATATACGAAAATATCGTATGATCATGACTAAGCAGCATGAACCTCCCGTCCCTATCCATTGTCTGACCTCCAAAATGAGCTTGGTCATCTTACCTTTTCGACTGATATTTTTTATCCACATGTCGCATGCCCCACCATGATAACTGTAAATATACAACAAGTCTTGGACAACAACTTTATGAGAACTATACTAAAACATGGTTGTCCGTCTAAATGATAACTTCATTAGACATTGTATGATTTTCAACTTACGTAGACCTCTTCACTCTTAACGTTATGCAGGTATGTTGATGACAGGGACTTGTTAACAACAATGTACAGAGTAGTATTACTGAATTCTTTGAGACAATTCTCACAAACGAAATTTTCACGTGAATCATTGAACTCATTTTGTCATCCTCATCTTACCACCACTGACAAAAAATAGACTTTCACATGCGATGTCTGAAAGTTAGTGGTGCAAAGTTTTCCTTCTGTTTTTTGGGAGCATCTGTTGGAACTACTGTAAAATCTTATCAACAGCCCTTAGCTGTGTTCATGATTATACCATTTTGTGCACCGAAGGCTTGTCATCGCTAGAAACATTATGAGCTTTATGACACTTCCTGCCATTGAGAGAGTTATTATATTGAGGTCCTCCAAAATCACATCCGAGTTATTGTGAATTTTTATTTCCTGCGTAGCCATCGACTACCATAAAGAACTGTGTTTAAAAACTGTAGCTCATATGGAGATCACAAATTTCTATCATGTAGAGGTATAAATTATAGTACTACTCGCCATTCCAGAAAATCTTCAATAGGCATGAAGTGATGAAATAGCTTTTGAAAGCTATAGTCAACTTTTAAATGATTGCTCTTGCCTCGATGCTCACAAACTTACGGCATATATGACGATCGGTTTGTTATCCAGGTTTGATAGTGCCCTACGATAAAATTTCTCTGTCAGTATATTAGTATATTCTCCATCACCGGAAAGTAGTATGCTCTATTCATCACCTGGTCCATCACCACCCTTGCCTTGAAGTAAGAATGCAAGACTGGCACAAAGAATAATACGTTTGGGCGCTTTGACGGTCACTTCTAATTGCTTGGCTGGTCATACCATTCGAACTGCATGATTAGGAGGTATGAGAGAGAGCAACGCATAGTAGAATATGCTTTCAATTTACCATGTTGAATTTATCCTCGAGGAAGAACCTCTATATAGTATTCATGAACAGCTTGATAATCTAAAGATAATCACTTACGACTAGCTTCCAACAGCAACAAAAAAGTTCCGTGAAACAGCATTCGTTATTCACGAAGGTCTCGGGAACGTGCACATGAGATTTTGGTGGAAAATGGTACGATCGTGGCCATGAAACCCAACTCCAAATCTTTAAAGCAAGATATAATTTAAGTGGACACGAGTCATTGAAATAGCCAAAAATCAGAAAATGGTGCGTCTTCATGAATAGTGTCATGAAATTTGAAGTGACCTGTTTGTTTATGAAAACTAAGCCAACGAAGTACCTCTCTCGATGATCATGGGATTGGACGTTCGCCTATGACTTTCATGGATACACAGGCTTGACATATTGAGGGGCAAAATCTGAAAATCCAAAAATGTAGTTCCTATCCGGAGCGGAGGAAGAGAAAGTGGTCTACTGGGACGTGAAATCGAGCAACGTCAGATTACAAAGAGACTTCTAAACATGCTCGGAGTACTTCGATCTGGTACAACTTGTACGAGCATTATTAATATTATAATTCTTTACTATAGCTAGTGACTAATGATTTAATTTGTTATATTTGGTATTTCATTTTTCATGGTTCTAGTGCTCTCACTAGTGCTCTCTAGGAGAAGGTCTTCAAGATATTTTTCAATGCATGACTTGTTATGTGTTTTCAACATTTTGACCCTTTATATCCTACGGTCTTTATTTATTTACCGTTATAATCAACATGTATCGACCACGAGGGAGGCGATGGGACATTTCAGGCTCTGGATCAGGCTGAAATGCGAGAGAATGTGCAATTTGGTAATATTCCAAGGAAAGTCAGAACTGGTTCTGGGTCTGGCAATACTGAAGACATTCTTTTTCCACAACTTGGACTTAAGTCATTTAATTATCGTCATAATGATTTTCAAAATAATATGTAGAATTTTATCTGAACACGTAATATTAGTATAAATTTATGTCCAATATCATATTGATGATCCCAGTTAAAGTTAGCATTTCTACAAACTCTACATTAAAATATCAATCTGATCTTATTTCAGGAAATATTGCAAGCATTATTTTTTTCTAGACAAATTTTTGCAATTTATACAACTTGATTTTCAGATAGAAAGATGATGTGTAAGTCTTATAATTAGTTGATATATAGAACTTTTCATATATTGTCATTAACTTTGAGTTTAATCATTATAAATTAATTAATAAATGTCTTCAATCATAATGAGTGAACAACATATAATTCTATATATCCAATTTTTTTATTTTCTTCAAATGATTGATTCAATACTTAATATTTATTTTATCTTCATAATTATAACATATTTTTCTTCGCTTCTACCTTTTTTATCATTTGATTTAGAAAAACTCGATACAGTAATTGTATGATAAAAAGGGTAAAATTGAGATGGTATTTTATTATGCATGGTTTTGAATCATATGTTATGTCTGGATTTCGATCATATCTCAATATGATGGAAAAGTAACCATTTTGGTGTGTACAGTCATAATTTCCATGGTACACATTCATGACAACGGAATCAACGATCTGAGCGAAATGATCAAACGTACGAGAATCAAACGAAAGACTAACTCTGGCTACGGAATGGATTGGAGGAAACTTATGCTGACTGTTGGACTCTCCTTAAGGGGCAGAGCAGAGAGGAGCATAATAGAAGTCAAATACTGCACACTACGTTCTTAGAATGCTTTTGTTTGCCTATGTTTCGGAATATCCTCGAGCTCAGACTGGAGCTGGGGGTGGAAATGTGTCTGACTCTATGGAAAAAGGCTCGTTGAATCTGTCATCTCAGGTGCACATTCTGAGACCGCTAACCCCGCAGCTCCATTCACTGTGGCTGGTAACTTATCTGCTGTGTTCGGCAATCCTGGTTTCTGAACTAGAATTCACGGGCTGATCTTCAAAATTCGGAATGCTGGAGTGTCATTGACAGTCTGTAGATTTACGATGTTTCCATAAACGATTGAGCGGCGGCGTAGTCTGACAAGATGCACCACCTTCTGTAAACTACATCCTTAGGTGGGCGGAGAGAGTGAGATTATGTGAATTGTGGAAAGTGTTCTGTGGAGCACGAGGCACACTAGAAGTGCAACTGACGGGTCGCGAGAAGAATCTGAATTGCTTGTGAAAAAATTCCACGATTCGAACGAGGAGAGCGAGACCATACCGACGTGCAAGCCATGGGACCTCTGAGGGATTGCATGGACAAGGCCTTGTATGCATAGTAAGGTAGGGAAATCCGATGTACAGAATATTGATCATATCGATGATGCTAGCCAACAAATCAAAGGATGTGATGATGTCTCTGACGAAGAACATCCAGTAATACAACCGACTAGCCGCCACTTTTGGTTCATAGATATTGTTAAACAAGGAAACCTTTCTCTTCACTTTAAGATTATTTTGAATGGGTTTCAACAGTGACGTGGCTTTCACATGTAATTTTGGCCTTCATATGTGCAAATAATTAGAACGAACAAATTGGAAATTCCTAGATATTGTTACACATGCAAAGTGAATCCTAGGTTTCTCAACACACAATTCTCGGCCTCTTATCAATGTAAGTACAGGAGGGCGTATTGCAACAACCATGAAGCTGCATACAGCCCGGAAGGAGAAATTTCAACTGAAACGTGGCATGGGAGAGTAGTTTTACCAGCCCATGATCGTTAATTCAATTTATCAATCTTTAGGAGATTGTGGTGGAGCTCAGGGAAGGAGAAGAGGCTAATTCTAGTCTCCTTGGGGCAACAACAAATGCCGATACAAAGATTTTTCTTTCAGTCACCTGTTATACTTGTAACGCTACGCTAGCTGCAAATTTGTTCTCACCGAAGCATCTAGGCCAGGGTTGTGAAACCGATCCTATACATCTCCAGACAGCGTATTACATGGCTCTCGGAGTTGGACAACTCTTACTACAACGCATTCGAGAATATAAAATCTCAAATGCCCAAATGCTCTTTGGCTCATAACTATATGATGAGCAACTGCTGTAAGACTAAGGATTCGAGCTATATACGAACACTTCAACGGACGAGCTTACTTTCAGAGAGTGACGTGGGGATGTCCTGTGCTCATGAGAAGCCTCTTAAGAAGATGAAGTTCCATCTTGGGCCGTGGAGACATGTGATGGCACCCATTCATGATCTGATACAACACAGGGGGCTAGATCGATTCGCAGTTTGATGGTATCCAGCCAATTCGGGCGTTTGGCTGGTCGTAGATCATCTGAAAGTTCTGTTGTTGCAGATTGCCGATGATTTGTATGCCCTGATTTGTAGGAATGACAGCCAAGCACCAAATCTGAGCGAGCTCATCTACTGGAACGAAGACATTCACCTTCGGTAAGTCCCAGCTTTGATCCTGAAAAATCAAGGTGAGGCCTGGCAGGTCCGGGTCGCGATCATTCCCAACGTCGAAACAGAGATCCAAGCCGGAAACTTGCGAAGAAGTTCGAGAATACTTGACTCTTGTCTCGACCATTCTGGCTAGAGTCAGATAAACACGCGGGTCCAGCATAGTGATCGTCGTTCCAGAGTCGATTACCGTGCCCATTGGAGATTGAGCTGCAATAATCATCGACTGTTCTCCGATTTCACCGCCTGCAATTAGGCTCTGCTCCGAGTCGACGTTGACCATCTTGTTGTTCAGTCTCACTCCGATCAGATTCAAGAACCAGAACGTCGGGATGCGCTTGTTTTCAGATGTTTGCAGCGCTGTGTACTGCACATTCTCGGACGTGGGCAGAGCAGATCGCCCGAAAATGACCGGGCTGCTCGTCGTTGGGTCCGAGAAGATGCTTTGCAGGCAATATGAGAACACATTTCCGTACTGCTTTCCGAGCTGAGAAGGAAACGAGATAGGTCCTTGACCCAAGCCCACGAGACCATCGACGCCGTAGAAATCAACTGAGTTGTGAAGCCCCACTCCAAAAGCAAAGTTGGGGACAGCTAACATTTCGCCATCGGTGTTCTGCAAGGTGATCGTTTCGGTGGAGAAATTTCCCTCTGTCACTGAGTTGTCACCGTACTGATACGCGTACTGGCAAAGGCCATCTTCATCCTCGTCGTCTGAGCACTGTGCCTGCGTTCCAAGGGCGTTGCACATGTAACTGGGGCAGGAGAGGCTTTGGTAGGTAGAGGATTTGTCCTGATCGTAAGGATCACTCGCTTGGCTGAAACATGCGTCGCAAGCAGATGCTTGAACCCACGTGAGATCGCTGCCAGTGTCGGCTATTACCATAAATTCCTGGGGAGGAGATCCCAAGGATATTGACATGGCGTAGCCTCCAGGCACTGCGGTCATCTTAGACTGGTAGCCCGAGTCATGATCCAACTCTAAGAAGTCCTGCATCCGAGCCCTCAAAATCGTTGCACGTGACCAACTGCTTTTGACGTGATGGGCAACCCTTTCCCCCATGGTCTGGAACCGAGGCTCCAAACGTCTCATTTTGGTCTTGAAAGAGTTCTCCAATGGGGAATGCTCTTCGCCGACTTGTGGAGATAAAGTTGCCTCTGTAAAAGCAGAGAACAGTACCAACAGATTCATGGCTAGGCAGAGAAACCAAGCTCTCTCGTTGAATATCCCCATGTCTACGATCGTTGCTGATTCGGAGCAGATGACGGCAGCTCAATTGACTTGCTTCAATCTCTCCCTTCTTCTGCAACTTGCCCTGTAAATAAGTTGAATCAAATGAATAAGATGATACTAATTTCTCAAAGTGTGTTGGACTTCTGCATTGTTTTGTTGCAACTTATAGTCCCTGAATATAACCAAACGGATGAAGACGATTCAGCTGCTATACTCTATCTGCTTTCAAATGGTGGGTTATACCTCGTTTGCTACGATTTGCAATGACAATCACTTCTGAGAGGAACATCATTCTCACCTTGACCGAGATCTTATCAGTGGACGTGATGAAACCTCTTGATCCTCGTATATTGCTAAGCACCTAAAGCATTCAGCTCCAAGCCATAAGAGATGAAGAAGCCTCGAGCTCCCACCCAACAAAGCTGCGTTGGGAATCCAACATTTCACGCTGCAAAATCTCAGAGTGGAGAGAGGTGGCCTCTGTGAATTTTTGCAGCACTAGAAATGAAGAAAGACTAAGAAGCCTCGAGCTCCCACCCAACAAACCTGCGTTGGGAATCCAACATTTCACGCTGCAAAATCTCAGAGTGGAGAGAAGTGGCCTCTGTGAATTTTTGCAGCACTAGAAATGAAGAAAGACTGCACAACAGATCTTGAGCTTCTCCGGAGCTGGAAAGACAGGATGCTTCACCAGTAACGAGGACACTGAGGATAGTTCACTCGAGCATCGTTTCCAGCTTTAATACTATCATGAGCTTGATGTGCTGCACAGTCACACTCCTGCAAACGCAGCATCGTCTCACTGCACTACACAACTAAACTCGACATAAACAGCTATATCGATTTCATATTTCAAAACTTTGGCCGTTGATTTTCAGAAGACCGATGAGCTCTCCGCTACCGATTTGCTGCCGTTCTTTCCTGACAGTTACAGGAAGTAAACAAGACTCTCACGAGGAATTGCCGAACAAACAACTTGTACATACACTCAAAAATTCGATGATAATAATTAAACTATGCAAATTTGGCTTCTTCCTGGCATTTTATAGTCAGAATCTCCAAAGTCTTCTCACGGATAAATGAAAAAAAGTGCGAACTATCGAGGACATCTGCATGGGATGGATGATTTATATACCGCTTTGAACAACCCTTTAAGGAGGAGCTACTCTCATGTATATCCAATTATATTCATGTACTTGATATACATGAAGTGATTTTCTACTCCACCGGTGCCAGGAACTTCGATGAATTTAGTTTCAGAAAGATTTTCTAATATGATAAGTGTCCGTAAACAATCGATTAATACGGAATCGGAGATAAATTTCTGAAAGTTGGAAAGTCTAAGAAAGTTGGAATCTAAATTTTAAATTTTCAGTAAGACATGGAAAATTAAACTTCTCATCAGCATTTCCTAGTCAATATCTTTGTTTGTTAACAGCAAACTTCGAATACATCTTACAAAATACAAAAGCATATCATGAAATAAAAACAAAGCGGAGCGGTGATGTTCTTTTTAGCTTTGCAAGACATTAAAATTATCAAAGTTATATATATGTATATATTGACTCACTCTCAGATTGCATATCTGAGAGTGAGTAAAGTGTACCATGTTTGCAACAATCATCCATAACTTCAATCATGCATTAATTTTTGAAACATTTTTTCAGAAAAAGTGGGAGCGGAGCTTTATGATGATAAAAATCATATTATTAGAAGATAAAAGATACTGTGTACATGTAGAAATGAAAAGAAGAAAGATATTTTATAATAAAATCTATCTCATTAACAGCAAAAAGCATATCATTTGCAAGAAATTCTTTGTTTTGACAGTAGATTTGTGCGTAATACACCAAACAAGGATTGGAAGATATCGACTACCGACCAGGATTTTATTACCATAGAAAATCAAGTTAAAAATATACTCATTTCTCCACAATATTTTTTTCTCTCTATGCCCTTCAATGCATGCATGCTATCCACTCATGTTCTTGTCCTTCTCCTTTCTCCAGGTTGTAAACATTTAGTTTCAGCCTCCACAATTGTCACTCACTTACATTTTTTTTTATCCTGAGATATTCTTATCCGTGTGTACAAATCATGACAGGTTTGTTCTATGTAATTCTTGTTATGTTATACAACCATTTCACTTTGTGATGTAAAGTTCCGTCATAGCTTCACATGGATGTATAGATATATCTAGAACCAGATATGTTCAATTCAATCTAAGATAAAAAAACTGATCAATGACCGGATCGCGTTTTCTTTTATAAATAAAACAGACCTGTTGCTCATCGCCATAAGATGTGTAAAGAAAATAACCTGACTTCAACTTTCAAACCACTGAAAGAAATACTTCTTTTTCAAAAGCTCTAGAACCATAAAAACGAGAAAAAGTCATTACGATATTTAGTCTAGTCAAATTTGAACATGACAAACATATTAATTGTACGATAAGCGTTACTATTTTAACGCTCATAACAACTCAGCCACATGTTTTAAATGAGTTTGGTTTGCCTCTACGTTCCTTGTCTTTGTCCCTTCTAGTTTTCGGCGGACTCTAAATACCATTATACTCTCTAAAACTTAGATGAAGAGATGAGGTGCTACAATATACTGGAGATACAATGCATAATCCACCACTCAGTTTCCTAAAAGGAAAATTATGTAATGTATTATACTTTCTAGAGTTAAAATCTAACAAATTGACTTTATTTTATTGTTTATGTTACTTTTAAATTTGCAATTCTAAAAACTGTCATTAAAGTGTGTATTATACTATATAATATGATACACACTATGAATATTATTAATTATGAAAATACTTCATAAATATTATATCATCTTTTTTTTTATAAATATATAGTTTATAAAACTGATAAATATTATAATTTATATAAAATTTCAATTTTGTTCAATGATAAATAATATATTATTCATTAAATTTATAACATCATAGTTCTACAAACTCAAAGATATATTATTTTATCATTAGAGCCGTGAATCTATCCATTATGTCTTAGACCTGCCGGCAAGACACGGACCCTTGTGGGACTAATCGGAAACCAATCGCAAAATGCGCGACCAAATTCCACAAGTTGCATGCTTGGGTACGGATCTGGCTCCCGTTTCGTTTATTACGTAAACGGCCCAAACACTCCCTAACGCAGCTGAAGATTCCCATTTCGAGCATATTCGGTTCGCTCGAGGCCAGCCGTATGGCGGTTGCGCATGTATCGGTCCCACGATCCTGCCCGCGAGCGAGCGCTGCTGATTTTCTGGAATCTTCGGAGGGTTCGGTGGCCTGCGCTTATCCGTAATTTCACGGTCTCGTGTCGAGAATCTCATTCTGTGCATGGACTCTTGTGGTGCAAAGGCTGTAGCTGGCAAGTTGTAGTTGACGAAGTTGCAATCTTGCAGAATTCAAGCTGCTCCCATTCTCTCGATTTCTGCTCTTACTGTCAGATCTTACGTGCTTGCTGGTCTGTTCTCTTGATCCATTAGAAGACAGCTCTCAGAGGCAGCTCGATGATGTCTTCCGCTCCGGGTCAATGGGTAAATCCCCCATCAATTGTGCCCTTGGTTGAGTTCGATTCGATTGTAAGGGAGATTGCGGTTTGGATCTTTTAATGATTATCTTTCCTTCTGAACTTCTGAAGCTCCCCAGTTTGAAAGCTTTGGGCCAGTGACGAAGTTTTTTGAGGCTTTTTTAATGACATATGATGCCGAATTCTTCGTTATGTAGCTCGTGTACGACGGATATGATCCCAGATGGATTATAGGAAGAGACAAGGGCCCTCCGGTCGTTCCGAAGCCCAAACTACCGCCTACTCCAGCGCCTCCTCCGAAGGTACATGCTACTGACGACGATTCTTCAATCCAGCTGAGCTTGGGACGATCATTCGTAATATGTTTTGAGGAGAAGAAGCAAGACTTTGTTCACAATCGCTAATGACTTGAGAAGATTTGATCTGTGACTGATTTGGTGTTCTGCACAGGTCGTGCCACCACCGCCCCCCGAACCGGAGCCAATAGTCCTGAAAGTCTTCTTCTGCTGCGAAGGATGCGTTGAGAGGATGAGGGAAGCATTTAAAGAGCTAAATGGTTACAATCTTTCCTCTTTCTGCATCTTCTAGCCAGTCCCTGTTCCTTAGTGAGATGATTCCGAGTTTCTCATCTGCTTGTGATTTGTCATGAAACTTTGGATCATTTGAGTTCATTCTGCTTGTCATCTGGACACTGCAGTCATATTTGCAACAGTTCATGATGCCTAGGAACGATCGTACTGTGTTAGAATCATCTGTTTACTGTGTACACTAGTTTTCTCAGTGTGGAAGACTCATTCTCGCAGGTGTGGAATGCGTAAAGGTGGATCCTGGCTCTGGAAACGTGTTAATCACGGGCAAGGTTAACGTTGAAGAATGTCTGAAGCTGGCAAGGAGGATAAACAAGCGCACAGAGCTTTTGCTGCGGAAATGAGGGAAAGTCCATCTTCGGTCATGAAAGAGCACAAGAAGAGAAAAGGAAAATGTGGACTGCCAATCATGTTGAAGGGGTCGTTCCCAAACTTTTAGTACATTGCTGGACGCTTCTGTGAAGCTTAGGGTACAATTCATCGGATCGTTTTCGTTGCCTCTATCCGGGAAGCATTCATTTGGATGATTGTTTCACATGGGATACACTAGTAGGCGGTGTTTGCAGTACTCGAGAGAAGATTCTCTGGGATACCGTAGATAGGCATTCTGAACACATTCGTGAAAGGGAGTAAACAGGAGTTTCATCTTGAATCAAGGTCTCAATATTTTCTGCAGGTTCTGGTTACTTTGTAATCCGAACGTCAACGAGCAAATTGAGATATTTTCACACTTAGAAATAACTCGGGATACACGAAAAGAGGAATCTAAAGGCAGAGAAAATGACTTTTTTTTTATAACCCAACAGGAATGGTCCTGTTGCTTCGTATAAGTCTGATTTCATGACTTTTAGTGCAGCAGATCTGCCACATTTTCAAGAGCCACAAGGAATTATGAAGAATAAAAGTTCAAGACTGCATATCTGTCTAATATATCCACTGAAAGGGTTCATAGTAACGTAGTCTTTTAAAAGAGGAATTCCACTGATGTCATGTAAACGAGGAATTTGGTTATGCCAAAGGATTCTTTCTGAACCTAAATAAACGGTATTTCTGACTGGAGATTGGCAAAGATCAAAGCACAATATGGTAGCAACTCACTAAGTGCGTATTCACAATTGGCCGAAGGGCTTCATGAAATGTGAAGCAAAATGATTATGGTAATCAGGATGCGACTGCGGTGAAACGATGGGATGAGACTGCTTCAGTTTTAGGGCCAGGATCCTAGGCCTAAGATGAGCTGAGACATCTATGAGTTGGCATCATGTATCTTACATGTCTCACGCAGTCAACATCGAATAAAGTGATATCGTCTATACAAAGGTTTAAGGTTTTTTCTGTTCGACGGGTGAGATTTGAACATCATGCTCCTCTGAGAATTTCTTTAACAAGTGGTCAAAGATATGAACCTCGCCAGAATCTTATTTTTTACCTGCTTGAGTACCCGTCAGATCTTGCTAAGGATTTTCCCTTTACTGACTGCCCGGCGAACAACTCGTATCTCACGGAAATTCTATAACAAACTCGTTGCCATGATCAGGTCAAGGCAAACTACGTGCACGATGAAAGAGGTTCAGTCAGGAGAAGTCGCTTTCGAAGCTAATTCTTTTCATTTCCCTCTTAATCAAAAGAGTTTGACTTTGGCAGAAATCTGACCTCCGCTTCACAAAGTCAATCGTGTAGTGAAATTGTAAGTTTATGTCCATCCTTAGAAAAGGCAAAGTTTTGAATCCGACTTCGACTGATAGAAGCGTTCTTTCACAGACGATCCACGAGAATTTAAATTAGCACTACTATCTATGAGTACATTATTAATTTCTAATCTCTCAAGTGTTTTTCAGCCATTCCTTAAAGGAGAGGCTCTCGTTACAGCCCTTGGGAGCTTCAGGGATTGACTTCAACATTCCCCAAGACGTCAGTTTTTAGGAATATTTCAGGCTTTCAGCTCATTATTTCATCAAGTTCACCAGCAGCTATGGTTCCACTTATTATGGTATACTTATTCAGCAGGATCGGCATATTTTTCTGGATATTTTTCTCAGATCATTTTTTTTTAATCAGCAATAACTGGATGTCACTCTTCATAGTGATCAAAGATGAAGAGTTATCGATCTACCTCGATGTTGATGGTTGACGGTAATTAAAAAGTTCCAAGGTCAGCTTCTGACAACTGAATTGAAACATAATTTCAGAACTCGGTAATACAGTTATTTGGGATGTACTGTGGTCATTTACTGCAAATCCCGTGCCCTCGCCTTCTTGAATTTCAGTCAGCAATATCTTCTTTTGACAGAAAAAATTCCTTTAGAATCCTGGGACATATCGGCCATCCATGTGGTCCTGGAAACCACGTTTGTGGTCGTTGGGAAGGGTCCACACTTAGAAAATATAGAAAGCTTCCTTCTGCGAACTATGTTTGAGCGGATTAGATGGACTTCGCTCTCATTTCAAAGTTGTTGATCGTGAAATCTATGAATGTCACGCCACACGATGTGTTCAACTCTAAGAAGTTGTATACATCTTAGACAACAGAAAAAATTCTTAAATCCTCCCAAATAGTAATAATCAAAAGTATGGCACGAGATAAATAGAGGACAATTGAGCCACGAGATCCTCCTCTCTTCTCCTTGAGCATCGTCGCATTTTTATGCATTTTCTGTTTATCACCTAAGTCCTGGATGGTCTGTAATGATCAGTCTTTGACATACTGAAGTCTGGAAACACATGAAACTGACCGGTGCATCACAATCTGTGTCTTGCATGCTTTGAAGAATTGGATTGTTTATAAGCTCCTGCTGCCAGAGCTTAGATATATGTCATCTGTTTCTTCTCAATCGGTATATGTTCAACCATATCCGCTGCTCTCAGACTGGTATCGTTGGATATCTTCATGCCGCTCGTGATTTTCGCCATCCTTGAGTTCGTTCAAGTGACCTGGATCGGAAACATGGTTGTTATATCTATTGTACCGTCAAACTTAGACGATGTCCTGCTTTCACTGAGGACTCAGTGGCTGCATCGAATTATCAAGAGTTCCTGCCTTCAGATTCCACCAAAACTCACATCTGACATAAAATTCATGGCTGCTGCAGCTTTGGTATGATGGATATGATCCCGAATGGATTTTAGGAACGCGATGGGGCTCTCCAGCCGAGCCTGAACCACCACCACCGCCACCTCCTCCTCCTCCTACGCTCCCTCCCGATGAGGAGAAGGTAGCTGCAGTACCCGAGGTACAGTGTTGGAACAACGTGGCTCTGAATATTCGCACCCACTCTGTGATTGACTCAATCTACGTTAGATGGTAACCAGTTTATTTTCTCATAACCCAATGATGAATTGACCTTTGTTTGCTTGAAATCGTTGGGGAAATTTCAGCCACCGAAGCCGATAAAGTTGAAATCTCCTTCTTGCTGCGAAGGGTGTGAAGAAAAAATGAAAACCGTCTTCATTGGTTTGGATGGTACGCTTCAGGATTAATCCTTGCTCTTTGCTGGCTCACATCTGCTCGTGAAAAATATGTGACTGAATACTGCCTTAAGTTAGGGAAATTATGACGTATATTTAGACCACCTTAGAAGATGATCTGATCAGGTAATAGTTCTCCTCGAGTTGTACATTAAGCTTCTCCAGATGGATGAAATCTCAAAGGTCACAGTTGTTGTACCTCAGGTTTGGAATCTGTGGCAGTAGACTTCGAATCGGGACTCGTTACCATCACGGGGAACGTGCAAAGTGAAGAGTGCTTGAATCTGGCAAAGAGGGTGGTGAAACGTACTGTTATGTGGTGAGGATGGACATACAGGGATCTGGAAGACAGAAGGAGAATGGGTGCAGCGGGATTACAAATCGTTCATGTTGCGTTGCAAAGTAGAATATCTCACAGTTTTCGTACATCTATGTTGTGATTCAAATGATCAAGACAGCATATTAGTTCCTATTCTCAGACTGGCCTATTCGAATGCTGAGAACGAGAAAGTAATTTGAGAACATTGTCTACAGTTTCAAAGTCGTTCAGGAAGGTCGTTAGTCTGAGTTCCATTAATTACACTCAAAACAGGCTAAGCTTTTAAGAAGCTGCTACATTTTGGTATTTTTCCTTCAAGCAGATTAATCAGATCCAACAGTGCTCGGATTTGTTTTTTTTTCAGATTGTTTGCGTGATGGGGATGTTGTTGCTATTATCCTGTTTGCTTTATTAGCAAAACGGTGAGCACATGAAGCTCAATGTCATCATTCTTTTTACATCGTACCTTCATCGTATACTTTGAGTAAATTTCTTCTTCAGGTCGAGAATGTAGGGCTAGACAATGTAGCAATGATATAGTTGAAAAATAAGTTCTTATATAGGCATTAATATCAGGTTCATTGTATGTTAATCTACTCTTGCAGACACTGAACAACATTGACAGATGTATCCCTTCAATGCAAAGGATTTTTGACATTAATGATTCTGAGCTTGTCAAAACTACGCATTACAGCTATCAATTAAGAATGAGTTATATAGGTTCTTGAAAGATGTTCTCTGCTCCAAATCTCTATAAAAACGTCATCTGCAGCTAAGTAAGTCTGTCCCTCATAGATTAGATCAATTGAAAACTGAGCAAAAATCGAACGAATGGAATAAGTGTCGCATCATAAGGAGCGCTTTTATGGAAATAAGCAACCAAATTTACCCATTGTCACTTAGTTCTGAACTACACATTCAAAATCTGGAAATGATTTATACAATATAAAAATAATTTAATTTTAAGTTGTTTGATAAATCATATTTTAATTCCGAAAGGAGAAATTCGGATGAAATTTAGTATTGATCGTTTTTATTGAAAATGTAAAAAAATTAATTGATTCTTATTTGAGATTATGTTTTTTCTTTTTTAAGATCAGTTAGATTGACACATATTAAGGTCATAAAGTATTTGTGTAATCTAAGTTTTATATGTTAGACTAAAAAAACCAATGATTTTATCAAGATTATTGTTCAAGTAGATTACAAATTACATAAAATGAAAATAGGTTTTTAATATTACAATATATTGTAATTATTCAAAAATAGAAAAAAATTCACTAGAATAAAATTTTCCAACAATCAAATGACATTTCTGATCAAACTAATCAAAATGTTCTAAATTTTTCTAATTTTTTAAAACATCATCAAAAAAATCTGTGGGAAAAATAGTAAATCCCAGTATCAAATTATATCTCTTATATAAATTCGAATGTAATATAAATAGCTCATATTTGAACAAAATAAAAATTTCAAAAAATATAATAAATTCTTTCATCATAAGAGTGTCAAAAGAATAAAGTTTAGTAAAAATAATAAATGTACACTCTGACCAAAAGTTATGTAGTCGTTTATGTGATTCAAATTCTTTTAACCCAAATTAGTTCTCAAATTTCAAACTCATTATAACTTTAAATATTGAAAGTTTAGAATATACGACTACAATAAAATTTAGTGGCAATTTTTTTTCAATTGGTGAAGTATTAGAAATTATATTTTTATTTACTTATTTGGTTATAAAGAATCTCAAATTCTTATAAAATATATGAAACTAAAATCTTTTGCGTTTAAAATATTTAAGAATATTTTATATAATAATTTGAAAATTAGTGAGGAATTTCTATATTTTACATTCATTGAATAAAAATCAGCACATAAGATATCATACTGAATTGAAAATAGATTCAGAAATCATACTATTTAATTTATTTTAATGAATTGAAATTCTTTATGCAAAAAAATTATGAAACACCAGAAAATGTATTTTCTAAAAAAAATTAAATTTTGCTTTCAATATCTAAATATAACATTATTTGTTGATCAAGTAGGGTTGAAAATTTAAGTATTTGTTGGTCAAATATATTTTGTAGAACCAAACCCCCTATTAAGCAAAAGTTGTGAACGGTAAAACTAAAAAGACATTCCAAAAAGACGTAATACACAGGGAGAACCCCGAGGTATTTATCCCCGTCCAGGCGACCGTGTTAGCTATAAATAGCTAAAACCCGAGGTTATTCCTTAACTGGAATTAACCTCAACAATCTCCCACTTAACTCACGTTAAGTAACAAAAACCTCTATAACCTACATTATTACTTCACGGGAAATTCTAGACAGAAACCTTATATAAAGTCCACTTTACTCAAAATTTAACTAGAAATAAGCTGTAGCCATATAGTAATAACATAAAGAGTTAACAAAAAACAAGCAAGTATAGAGAGAGAAAAGATCTCCTAACCTATATAATTATTCCGCGGGAAGTTCTAGAAAGAAACCTAATACAAGAACTTTCTTTACATGAGAATTAACTAAAACTGAGTTGTAGCCATCACAAGATAGAGTAAATATATGAAGATATAACTCAAGATACTATGTTAGCACACTCTAACTCTACTTCTCATGCACAACCTGCATGATAGCAAAGTGTCGTTTGAAACTCTTCAAAGAAATAATTTTTATCAATGCATCAGCTGGATTAAATTTACCATCTATCCTGACTAGCTCAATCACCAAAGTTTTCCGTCAAGATTGACTAGCTCAATCACCAAAGTTTTATGTCAAGATTGACTAGCTCAATCGTCAGAGTTTATTGTCAAGATGGACTGCTCAATTACTAGATTCTATGGTCAATCTTGACTAACTCAATGATCAACACTTACCATCAAGATTGATTTGTTCAATCACAAGAATCTACCATCCATATTGACTAACTCAATTTTTTTATTAGACACTCTTGTTTGATAAAATATATGATATTGTTGCGTTTCACAGTATTGTAAATAACTTGTGCCGTGCACACTTCATCATTAATCACATAATGATCAAACTCCCCCACAAGTACATACTCGTGTTCATCTTGATCATTAATCACATAATGATCAAACTCCCCCACAAGTACATACTCGTGCTCATCTCGATCATTAATCACATAATGATCAAACTCCCCCATAATTAGTACCCGTGCTCATCTCGATCATTAATCACATAATGACCAAATTCCACCACAACTACATACCCGTGATCATCTTGATTATTAATACTAAATTTTCGTTTATTAATACAAAGATCTTGAGAATTCTCATTCAATGAACTGGGTTCATTGAAAGAAACACATTTGGTAACAAGAACCTTACAATCTACGATGCTCAAGACTAAATGTCGTTAGTGACTATCACTCATCATCGCCCGCGACTAATCAAAAACGTTGTCCACAACTTATCATCTGTCACCCGTGACCACCGTTGTCTGTGACAACCGTCGTCCGCAGTAGTACCGTCCGTCATCTGCAACTTTCGTCGTTTGCAACATCAATATCCATCACCCGTGACTCATGTCGTCCGTGATCACAGTTGCTCGCGACTACCTGTTGGATGCAACCTATGTCGCCTGCAACTAGAACACTTTCTCCCGCGACTTTTGTCCACAACTCATTGTCATCCGCAACAAACGTTGCCCACTACCGTTGCTTGCAACCATTGCTTGTCAAAAACCTAGATAGAAAATTAACTTCCGAGTAATTTTTCTCCGTTTGGGTCATCTTTTAGTTCCTGAAAATGGTCCACAAGTTTTAATAGTGTGGAGAACTTTCCAACTATATTCAATTCGCCTATATTCTGACGAAGATTCTTGCATACGTAATATTTACAAACAAAATATTTCGTCACCGTTGTCCCCAACCATCACCGTTGATCTCGGCCATCACCGTCACCGTTTGATTACGTTGTTGTTTTGACCATGGTTGGCCCGCTAACTACGTTAGATCCACGATCACAACTGCAACCACGTTGAGCTTCGACCACGACTGTGACCGCAATTGCAATTGCGATCAAGTTAAGCCTAACCACATTCGCCTTTACCGACTACATCCATACCGACCACGTACACATCTACCGCGTTCAACCCAAACCACGTCCAACCTAAACCGCCCTGCAAATCGCACAGACCAGACCAACCGCGCTGCAAACCGCGTTGTGTTCAAAAACCGCATAGAAAACCGCGCAAAAACCACGCTGTGCATAAACCGCGCGCTGGGTACCTAAATTTGGAAGGGCGCGTCTAAACCTACCGATGGCACCACTACTGCTCTTGGGGGCCTGATCTAACTGCAGCGCTCCACTGCCCACCGCTTGGGCATTCGTCCAATAATTCCCATGCGGTGAGCATCTGCGGCAACCCAAATCTTCCTCTTGCGATGAATCTACTTCACGCGGCAAAGGACATACGGAGGGAAATCTGAATGACAAGTGGAAAACATGAGCTCTGTTGACGGGTCAATCCAGAGCTTAAGGAAGCAAGCTCATGGACAAGTGTGGTAGTAGGAGCCATTCTGTAACTTACAAAATGTAAGTAATGAGAATCATCGTAATGTACATTTGGACTCTGAACCCTTCAGTCCAGGGTTTGACAGGCATGGCTCAGAACCACCGGGTGATCCCGGAAATGCGCCACAAAACGTCCGGGGCTACGCCCCGACGTTCTGACTAGAGCATTCTTGATTTCTCCGGGTCGCCCGGATATTTTCAGAAAAAATTTCCGGGTGTTCTCAGTGGATTGAAAGTTATTGAGTCCGCTATTTTCGTGTGAATGCTCCCAAAAAATTTTCAATAAAATGACATTTACAACGGGTGTCCCCGGGTTTAACCCTTAAAATCCTCCGGGTGTAGCCCCCTCTTAGCAAGAGTGCACCAGCGGATTCCTCCGGCTGTCCCCCTGTTTCACCCCCTGTTCCGGAAGTAAGTTATCTATTCCCGGGGGATTCCCGGGGGAATGTCAAACCCTGCTTCAGTCTCTATTAACATGAGAGTTTACCACGACATCTCTCCACGATCTCACAAGAAGGGGGCCTACAACTTCAAACATACTGATAGACACAAGTCATAAACTCAGCTCCACATCAACCATGCTTGTACTCTTTCTTAAAGTTGTTCACGAGATCACCAATCCCAGAACAATTACACATACATTTCATCTCTGCGCCTGATCATCCCACTTGATTTCAACTGAACATTACTTCTAGCCTAGCCCCGAACTCCCCTGTCCAATAGTAACATCTGATTTCTGCCTCCTCGTACGCCTCTAAACCAAACCAAACCAAACCAACTTCAGAGGTTTCAACTCCACTAACTAA